GGGCGGCCGTACCGTCTTCTCCTGCGGTACAGGCCCCGGTCCGGTTACGTTAAGTCAAAACTTGCCAGCCTGCAGCTACATAGAGGAGGAATCTGGGCCGGACGGGGCGGTGGAGTGCGCGGCCAAGGCGCCTAGGGCGAGGACAGGCAGTGCCATGGTGCTCCCCGTGCACGTCCAGGGGAGACCGGTCTGTGTTTCTCCCAGGCCCGAGAGATGCGGGGCGGAAGCTCGGAGGGGGACGCCACTCGTGGTGCCCGTGCTTGCGGGATTGTGAGTCTGCTCGAGGAGATGTGGGTGCCCGAGTGCAAAAATCCGCGGGGCACACGCTGCTGAGTGGGTCGTGGGGCTTACAAAATGTATTTCTGGCTGGCTATTTTTTAACTATAGCGGTCTTCCGCTAATGTATGGGAGATACATTTTCTGATATGAAGCCCACTTGTATGCTCAAGGCTGTGCCATGCAGGGAATTGTATGCCGATTTCCTTCTTAGTGGGACAGCTGTAAATTATGAGATTAGTGATTTAATTGCACGGCAAGTCAGAGGGACGGATTTCTTCTGTCTTAAAGCATGCTTTCATGTATAAGCAGCAGTTAGATATTTGCTTTCCAGTTAGTATTTAAAAGCACTTTTTGTCTCTTCAAACTTTGAAAATTTCCCCTGGTGTAAGAATAGTTTCAGTAACCAAAAATGTAGCTTCTGTAATGCAGTTACCTTGCAAATGAAAACACTATTTGGAAGCTCAGAAGTCCACATTAAGATGTACTTTGCAATTATGAAGGGAGAACCATTGCTAGCACAAATAAAGCTGTAAGTTTCCTTCTTCTCTAGTTCACTAGAAAATGTGAAAACTGTACTTGCTCTCCTTGATTTTAGGAAGAAAAATGCAATGTACCATCTGGAGAAAAAGTGGAAGAAGCTGAACAACCCAGTGATATAGAAGAAGGAGGATTAGATCTCAGTGTGTCACTCAAACCAGTCAGTTTCTACATTGCAGACAAAAAAGAAATGCTTCAACAATGTTTCTGTGTCATAGGGGAGAAAAAACTGCAGAAGATGCTGCCTGATATTTTGAAGGTACTGAAATAAAATTACCTTTATATACTTGAATGCTTGTGTAACAAAGCACATTTATCTCACAAGCCTAGTGAACTTCCAGCTTAAAAGCTGCCTTTATATTTTTTAAATAAATATTATGTCAGGTCTCTGAAAGTGAGACTTTTTCAATATTTGATATACTTATTCCAGCTTATTCCTTTTTCCACTGCTCAGCTATTGCTGATTTTATACTGTTTGTCTCTACTGGTTAGTTAAATGCAAAAGGAGTTTCATAATTGCATGGAGTAAATTCAGTAGTGTTCAGTAATAAATATGCTGATCTGTTAATAAAAGTTTGTGTTAATTTATATTTTTGTCTGCTGAATTTTTTTTATGGTTTTCAATTAATGTCTGAGATAGGGCAGTAAAACCCCTTCCTGATAAACAGCTTCTGAAGCTGTAAGTCCTGTGGACTCAGTGGTAGTATCACTAGAGTTTTACTGACTTAGAACATACATTTTTTGAGTCTTGTGAACTGCGGGACTTGGTGAAAATATATTAGGCTAGCAGCCTGTAGAGAAGATGCTGCAGGTGAAATGACATTTGTGTGATGTTTGTTAATAGTTTTAAAATTTTTGTCTTTTAATTTTTATCTTTATGAGTGACATTATTAATATAGGTGAGGCAGGACTTCATTTTAAGCATGTAGTGAATTGCATACAGTCTCATCCATTTCTCATCTCTGTGAGAAGAGGTCTGGAGCAGCTGGAGGCAAAGGCATTAATGAGTTTGAAAGGAACTTGCCTGGTGGTATAGAACCGAACCTGCAGTAGGGTAGTGAATGTTACAATACGCTTGGCACTTTCTAATTTTGGTACTTACACGTGGTATTGTAGTTCACTTGAAAGTGAATAATCACTCTATTTCATCAAGAAGTCACCAAGTAGTGTGAAAGAAGTGAAGGTAACTGGAATACCCTAAAATCTGTGGTAGCATCAAGCATGAGAAGTGGACCACAATTTACATATTTCTTATATTTTCTTTGTTATGATAAGCAGCTGTTGGTGTGTTGTCAGTGGTAGCATTTGCTTTAGTTCGTGAACTTGGATTCAACAGTTGGCCGTGGTCTTTGCAGGCTTAACTATGTAATCCATGTGCTCCTGTGTGATGGAGAATTAGGAGTAATGAGGGCTGCGGTTGTTTGCTGTTCCATGCTTCACACATATGGCCCAGTGTTTCTACTGCTCAGTGTTGCAGCTGCAGTGAAAACTCTGAGCCATAGGTCAAATAACTAGTAGTGTCTGTTGCTTAATTTTTCAGAAGAAAACCCCACACGTTCTATTTCTGGTAGTTGTCAAAGCTGAAATGCCTACTTCTGTTCTTCAATAGTTGCATCAATAGCGAAGAGACTTGCAGTCAGAGTTAGCTCTTCATTCAGTACAGTTGGACTACTACTTACCGTTCATAATTACTTTGTCCTCAGAAATTTTTAGTAGCTTGTGGTCTGTTTTATCTGTCTTCTTAGAACTGTTCCATGGACGAAATCAAACGGCTTTGCTTGGAGCAATTGGAGCTGTTATCTGAAAAAAAACTTTTGAAGATACTTGAAGGTATGAACGAAACTTCTAGGTGTCATTGTACACCAGAGAATAGTCGGCCTCTAAATGAATTTTTCACTCTGTTTCTAGCTAGTAATATACATAATGAGGGTGGTGAAACACTGGCACATGTTGCCTAGAGAGGTGGTAGATGCCCCATTACTGGCAATATTCCAGATCAGGTTGGTTGGGGCTCTGAGCAACCTGATCTGGTTGAAGATGTCCCTGCGTATTGCAGGGGGGTTGGACTAGATGGCCTTAAAAGGTCCTTTCCAACCCAAACCATTCTGCGATTCTATATACACACACACACACACACTAATGAGTGTATATTAGTGTGTATATATGTTAGTATTACATATATGCACATGCTAATAGTATATATATGTATACTGTGTGTCTATATGTGCCTGTTTTGATCTTTTAAGCTTGGATGAAATTGTCCCTTGATATAGAAGCTATTAGGGACACATTCAGAAAACAGTATTATAAGCTTCTGTTTCTTAGTACCCAAACTAAGAACAACTTCTGACTGGCAGAAATAACTAAGCTAGGAGTGTAGAAGTATTGTTTGAAGTCCCATTATTTTAGGTAAAGTGACATTAAGTTGCCTCCTGGTTCTCTGCAGGGGAAATAGGACATACTGCAATACCAGTTCAATTGTATTAGTAATTACACTAGAGTATTCAGTGTAGTTAAAAGATTCTTGGTGGATCCCTCTGGTCTGCTGAGACACAGAGTTCATGTACTTCGATTAAGGATATGACGTTCCGGCTTTTCAGTATCGAACTTCCACTTGATACTTAAGGGCTGTAGAATTTACTTGTAAACGTACTGCTGTCTTGTCAATTAAGTGGAACTCTGAATCTTGAATAATGTCGAGTACCTTCTCTTAATTCTGTCTCCTATGCTTTATTTTTAGTGCCTATAGTATTGTACAGGCAATAGCTGTTCTTTTTTTTTTTTTTTTTTTTTTTGTAATACAGTGTAACTGAAATAAGGGTTTTGGGTTCGAGTAAGTCTAATTTGAGAATATCTGCTTTAACTGGGGGAAAAAACCTCTTCTGCTGATTGTTGCAATAGAGTTAATCATTAAGAGTAAGCCTAACTATATAGGATTAATTATATTACCTGCCTAAATTTTCACATTTGAAACTGTATATATCTAGGCAAGTTTGGAGCTGATTCTGATACTGACGAGGAGGCAGGTGGAGGAGACAAGACTGGAAGTGAATCAGTCAGTCAGTGAGTAAAAGACAAAACACTTAATTTAAGAATACTGAACAATACAGGGATGTTTCATGAGAAATAATCAAATGTAATGTTGAAAGACCCAATCACTATATCTTTAATTATGTGATTGCTGTAGTTGAATGGCAATGAGCTGTGCCTGCTAGAAAGCACTAAGCTTATAAACACGGCTTTGTCGCTTTGTAACATTAAATGTGTCTTGAGCACATAACTGGGTTTCATAGTGGTGTTACTGCCCATCAGTTGACTTGTGATAATTAAATGTGCACAATCCTAGCCTGCAGCAGAAGTGAAGTAATATGATTTATGTTAATCCTCTGAGTGAGCTAAAGCAGGTTGAGTAACCCCTTTCCACTTCAGTCAGTGAATTGTGTAAGCGTATTTTCAATTCATCTGAGATGTATCCCTTCTTTTCCACTCTTTTCCTTCTGGTCCTTCATTCCTGCACCAGTTGAAGCAGCACTAACACTCACCTGTTCCCATGTTCTCTGTTAGGGATGTTGCAGAATGTCTAGAGTTTCAAGAACAGAGGCTTCTGGTTTCTTATTCTTAGGTTAGCATCTGTCAGTTTTATAAAGGCCAACATTTTTTAACCTTTTCTTAAAATACTTGTCTGTTTTTTTTAAAGACAAGACTTGTGCACTACATTACTAAGTCCATTCTTATTGAATGAGTGAACTCCTTCTGAGAGTTTCTATGGAAGTAGTGAAAGGGAAAAGAAAGTTACTAATCACCCACAATGCATGAAATTTTATAAGTCTAACTTGCCTGTAGAAGACAAAATAAAAAGTGTTTCTGTTTTCATTGCTGACCTGATTATGGCTGGTCCATAGATGCAGTGCACAAACTTAATAAACTGCTGAAACAATACAAGACAATACACCAGTGTTGGGCAGATTAATGTACCTCTTAGTTGCTGGTTTGGTCAGTTCATCTAGACATACTAAATAGGAATAAATGAATGGGAAGGGTAGTGGTAGTAATCCAAATGTCACATTCTGGTTAGTATTTTTGATTTAACAAGAGACCTGGTTTCTGATCCTGTGTTTGATTCAGAACAAGCTACGAAGTTATTGCGTGAAGTAATTTTCTTTGATCACATCTTATCATATGTCATACAAATATACTAGAAATGGAGTGACACTAAGTTAAATGATTTTTCAGTTTTTCTCATGTGATACAGTTTTAATACCCTCTGACACTATTTTTTAGCGTTCCATTTGGAGCTGATTTGTGGCTGTATCCCCCCCTTTGCTATTTGTTGCCTACATGGTCTGTGAATGGTGTCAGTACACCCATTTATGTGAACTAATTTTCTTATTTGGATGTTGCCCTCTGCTGGCTACTTAAAAAAGCAAAATAAAAAATTCAAAAACTACAAAATACACTAAATATCGGGTCTCTTTACGTAAAAGAATCTCTGTTAAGTGATTTGATGCTTTGCCAGTGAACTTCTAAATAGAATGAGAAGACAAACCTGTTGGCTAAGGAAACCGTGAAAAATACTGCAAGATTTTAGTTTCTGGAGAAATTATATGATTTTTTTTTTTAAAGGCCTAATTCACAAGCTCTTTACTATTGCAAAATACATGAAATGTTCTTCAAATTAAAGAGGTATGGCAGGATTAGTACTGCTAGATTTCAGGAAGGTAATTCTGTGGCTGCAAGGTGTTTCAAAGCTACTGTTGAGAGATGTATTTATGACCCTAAGCTACACAGTAGATTGAGTAAACTCTTGCTTATATGCAAATAAAATAATTATTTGAGCTGGTAAAAACCTAAAAAGGGAAAATTGTTATTGTCAATTAATGAATAAAACAAAACAAAATAAGGAAAGCAAGCAGGATTTACCATTTTTTAACTAGCAGGTATCTGAAGACACTTAAGAACACATTTGCCTATGGCAAGTAGGAAAGTTTCAGGAAAACAACATCTGTAGGATCTAAATTGCGGTTTGGAAGTCTACTGTTTTTACACTCTACAGATAGTATTCCAGGCATAAGCAGTGAGTAAAACAAAATGAGTTGCTGTTGTCTACCTTTTCTCATAGCTGTGTTGAAGTACAGCAGAATTAAAACTGACCAAATTCTTTAACCATTGCTGCAGTTACCAGAAACTGACAAAGCTAGGTGACCTTATGTCACTGATGAGAAAGATGTGAGCAGTAACTGGCTGCAAAATCAAGAAGAAGTTGTGTTTAGAAAAAGTATAAGAAACTGAGAGACGTTGATCAAAGTTAGAACAGATTTCTTCCTTTTGACGAACAGAATGGTTGAGGTGCCCCTGGCTCTTGTATCTCTATCTCCATCCTGATAGTTTAATATTTCAGATCCCTCCAAACTGGCTAGCAAGATATGTTGGTGTAGGAATTGTGGCTTTTCTTCTCCTTTTTAGTACAGTGGCTTAAAAAATAGTATGCTACACACATGGGTGCTATCTCACAACCTTGGCTTATAGGTTCAGCTGTGTGCTAGCCTTAACAAAAAACAAAAAGGGAAAGCTGTTTGAATGATAGAGACATGAAAGGATAGGAAGAAATAGGTGAAATGAGGAAAATTATGTTTTTATATTAATAATAAGCCCAGTGCTTAATAAGTAGAGCAACATTATGCTTTTACAACTGTAAAATGTCACAAGCCCTTTTTACTAAATAGGTCTAATCTTTGGGCATTTAGGTTAACTTTTTTGCAACCTGCCTGTAAATAAATACAAATGCAAGTTTGCAAAACTTCAGAAAAGTGTGTTTCATCAACAAGTCAGTCAGTAGGCAGGGAGACTAAAGATGCAACAGTGAAGAAACAGTGAAAACTGCATTGGTAGGCTAAACTTTGGTTGTTTGTAATCATTAATATGTTTTTAGTTATCATTTGAGTTTAAATGGGTGTATTTGTTTGCCCTGGGAAGAGGGAAGACTTTTCAGAATGAAAAAGGCGGTTTCTTTTTTTGTATCCTTTGTTGATTCTTCCTAGTTTGTCTTTATTACTTGTCGTTTTCTTGTGAATGGCTACTTTTTTATGCATTCTATTAATGATGCAACATTAAAACTTTTTTGGTTTAAATCCCACTTATCTTAGTTGTTTTCATGGTCATGTAAATGTGGGAAGGGAAAATGTGAATAGCAAGTCTTATTGTAGTCAAAAAATGTGTTGACGGATTGGAAGCATGAGGTTTTTTCATCCTTACTCTTAAAAAAAAAAAAAAAAAAGTTGACTAACTTACACCTTCAGCAATATCCATGTGTCAATATAAATCCAGAAAGTTTAAATCAGTACATCTGAAGAAATTACAAGTGTACCAAAATTTTCAGGTTTTCTTAGAAGGGTATAGTTTGTACTGTGTCTTTTTTTTTTGTCCTAAAACAGGCAAATACTTATCTGCCTTTAAAGACCTGCTTCCTGTCTGTACTGTCTGAAAGTAGCAGGAATATGGAGAAGTTTGTCCAGATACAGGAGAGATTGCAAAATTCAGATGTTTATCTGAAGCTTTTGGATAGTATTGCATCTGTAATTGTAAATTAAATCTTCCTTTTTCTGATGCACATATCCTCATTCTGCCACCAGAACTGGAAGGCCTGAGGCTTTTCCTAAACTTCATCTCTCTAAAAGCTTCAGATGCTTCTATTAGCATGTAAAACACTTGCTCTGTTATTTTTTACACCAGCTTTTTGAGTTAAACACTAGAAATTCTGGAATAAGCATGCCGAAGAACTGAAGAAGCAGGGCCTATGTTTGCCAGTAACTGGAAATTGCTGTTACAATAGATATGCTTCATTGCTTGTGGGCTCTTGTGTAGTTTTTTGACTATACAGTTTTCAGATTTTTGTTATTGTTCCTGTGTTACTGTCTGCAATGGAGTATCGTTAAACCAAGAGAATTGCTATATAGCAAGCTTTCAACTAAATGACAGATGTTTAGTGGAAAGGAGTTAGCCAATTAATGTCCTGCAAAACTGAGTAGGCATTCTTCCAATCTCATTCAAAAGGTACTAGCATGTTCTTGAACTATTTCTTTCCTGTTCTCTGAATTGGGTCTTTAAATACCCTCCATCAGGACTGAAAGTAATTTGCTGTATCAATAAAACATGTATTAAAAGAACAAACATGCTAATACCGTTCTAGTGATCATATGTTCGTGTGTATAATGTGAGGAAATGTTCCTTTGCTTTGAAAATCTAATGTGCTTTTTTTTATTATGTGAAAATTTGCTATATAATATTTGCTCTTTCAAGGGTTTACAGGCTTTTTACTGCTTTGCAGTCATGAGTGCAGTTTTTGCTTGTTTGTTTTAGAAAAGTTAGCAGTTTAGAGGCTTGCCTTCTTTTAACATGTTTTGCTCCTGGGTACTGGGCTGCTCACAAGCATGCAGTTGCTATCTGATATTTACCCCTCTAGGACAATTTGCTTATCTTTACCATTTGGAATCACTGAAAGAATAGGCTACATGAGTCACTGAACAGATATAATAGCATTTGGCATCTTTTCATTGTCTTATGTTCTCCTGGTGTCCTCAGACTTCACCTGTAGTCAGACTGATTGGACCTTTCATAAGTCATTATACTATTTGATTAGCATATGTCATTTGGGATACCTATCCTGAAGAGAACTACTTCATAAGGATTTTCTCTTTTTTTTTTTTAAATTGCTTGCTGTAATTATTTTAGTTCTCATTTGTCATGGAAAACTACCCTTCGAACAAAAATTTGCAGGAAGCTTACGAGTACTTGGGACTTCTAGAAATGTTTTTTAGACTTGGAACTGCAAAGGCAAATTTTAATTTAGGAAGGTACATCATCTTTGTCAGAGTAGCAGAGGTACTGATCTCAAGCCTCACCCCAGAGATTTAGGTGAATGTTTCTTAACAACAGTTAAAAACCCTGTAACGAAAGTATCAGCATGAGTGTATCTCATGTTGTCAGACTGTCTTCTAGTCCGGTACATTAAGATTCTTCTTTCTGTCACAAAACTTTTCCTGCTTTTCTCTAACCCCACTTACTAC